GTGTCATGTCATGATTATGAAGGTGTCATGTCATGATTATGAAGGTGTCATGTCAGTCTTATGCACACCCCTTCAAGTAAGGTGTAACCAAACATTTATAGTGCTCTATCAAAATGATTTAGAAAAAAAAATAATATAATAATATTTTTTACTATTTGTGGTTTACTTTTGGTTTTGACCATTTGTGATTTTTTTTTTTTTTGACTGTTTGTGGTTTTCTTTTTTTGATAAACTTTGTCTCTCTCCTCTGATCAACTCCTCTTTACTACAAAATTACAGAAAAAAAAAAAATAATAAAAGAGGATGAACATCAGATGAGATGTCTAGAAAGACACCAATAAAACAAGATGGGAACAACATAAGATGACATTACTTGTACCTCAGGAAAGCCACATGCATAGATTTTCAGTTGGCCATGAAAAAAACCCATCAAGCACATATAGATAAAATCTATTTAAATATATGCACTGTATCACACAAGCATGGTATTTTAATTAACCTGTCCTAATAGTTTAATGTACACATTAATGCATCCCCTAATTTGGTCAAAAAACGTCAGACAATTTTACGAAAGCACCAGGATTATCTTGTCAACAGTCTGGAACAAGGTTATTAAACTTATTATAGCTTTGCATTTTTAAATTAGATTTATTTTAATATTATTTTCAAATTTGCAATACAATTTAGTTTCGTTTTTATTAGTTTAATTAATAATTTTGTTAGTTTCAGTTTAGTTTTTATTGTGTGAACACATTTCTATTTAATTTTGATATAGTTTAGTTTTAGAAATTAAATTCACAGATCACTTCCACAGCGCAGACTTAATTTAAATGTCTAGCAGCACAAAATTAAAGCATGCTGAGACTGATTAGATGGTAAAAGTATACAAACATACACCATGAAGCAGTCATGCCTTTTTACTTCATAAATCTGCTCAAGTTGCGCTTACATGATCATATTTAAAAGCACTAGACAATGATAATGGTGCTTTGTGATATTTAATTTGAAAATAAATGTAATTTCTTCATACTGGATGTCTTTTATCGTATTTAACAATAATCATGATACTGTAACTGTTGTGTCTTGCTCACTTTCCTGCGAACAAACGCGCATAAATCATAACTGGGACTAATGAAATTCAATAATAATGGCGGAGCCTCAACATTCGATTTGCAGTGTTGCAGCTCAGGGAGCGCTCGCTGCTTTCTGTAGCCTATATCATACGTTTTTTTTTTTTTTTTAAAAAGCTTCTCTAAAGGACCAACGGCCACATATACACTGCAGAGTTTAAGGAGAGACAATGGCATTTAACAGTAAATTAATATTTAAATTTGTTCTTTTCATTTATGAAGAATTATAAGCGTGTAGTTTACGCACATTTGTTCAAAACAGTCTGGCAGATTGTTCACAAGATGTAGGCAAAACATTTTATTGTTTACAGTAAGGATGCGCTTTCTTCTCTTTTTTTCCTGTTGCGGTGCTTTTCTTCAAAGCACAACTTAGAATGCCTATTTTGGTTTGATTGCTTGTGTTACATGAGAAAATAAACAACTTTGTCTACCTGATGCAGCAGCCTAGATTTAATGCGGGCGCGGTTCAGGTCGCGGTCTCCATGTCACACGGGTCGGGTACAGAATTAAATCAGTGCTGCTGTCAGATGACGGGTCAGGTGTTCTGTTAAGGGTTAACCAAACAGGACCCATGCAGGACTCTGCTCTGCGTCTCTCCGTCAGATAACCTCACATGCGTGATGCGCCAGTTACAGGTATTTCCCTAAACCGACACACAGCTATTTTTCCGCCACGGGGTGAGATAACGTAAAGATTACAAAAACGATTATTTATTTTTGATAATTCTTATTTTCTGTTAATTTTTCAATAACTGTTGTTAGTTTCGTTTTGTATTAGTTTTTCATTTATTTTGATGTTTTTATTTCAGTTTACAAAAATGTTTTTTTGATCAATCGTTTTCATCTTAGTTTTCGTTTACAAAAATAACCTTGGTCTGGAGCACAAACAGAGGCTTTCCATTTCATATAGTGATTGAAACTCAAAATGTGTTTCTGAGTCCAACGCTCTCAAACTACTTTTATTTCTTTTATTTTTCAAAATGTCTGCTGCTTTACACTTCTTTTTGGGACGAAACATGACCCAGACATTGCAGCGCTTGCCTTACAGCCCGCTTTAGGTGCAGCTTTCATGGACACGAGCATGCAGTGTGACACTCACCAGAGCGGGGTATGATGGGTATCCTCTGCACTTGGCCCACACCAGATCCAGAGCGTCCAGAGAGCTGTAGTCATCTGAACCCATCCAGCATCCAGAGCGGCCCCGGCCCCGAACCACTGCAAACACACACACACGGGTCAGGCCACAGACAGAACGCATGCGGGCCGGTCTGATGCGTGCGTCTGCTGCACTCACAGTGAGACACTCCTCGGGATCCTCCCATGGAGTAGGAGTCGTTCTCTGTGCCAGATGTTTCCTCGCTGCTGTCCTCCTGAAAGGCCGAGCGTGAGAACGAGGCTTTTCCACGGCCCTGTTTAGAAGGCGTGGTGCTGCCGAGAGAAAAACAACAGCACTACATGACACTGGCATCCCCCTCGTGCAGGACTGACACTGATTCACACATCAACCCGCTCTCTTCAGATCAGCAGGTGCTAGTTCATCACTGTACTGTAGACTCTGTGTGGTAGTAAAACGGTTCACATTACACATTCCTAAGGACTGTGCTGCTGACTTAAAGTCAAACAACACAGTGAATCCTTCACCAGCGTTTAGCAGCAGTCTTTTGTGTGTGTGTGTGTGTGTGTGTGTGTGTGTGTGTGTGTGTGTGCGAGTGTGTGTGT